CACCCTATTAGAGCACTTCGCTCTTGCTCTGCAGGCCTACTTGTTGTTCCTAGAGTATTTAAAAGTAGAATGGGAGGGAGAGCCTTCAGTTTTCAGGCCCCTCTTCTGTGGAACCAGCTTCCAGTTTGGATTCAGGAGACAGACACTATCTCTACTTTTAAGATTAGGCTTAAAACTTTCCTTTTTGCTAAAGCATATAGTTAGGGCTGGACCAGGTGACCCTGAATCCTCCCTTAGTTATGCTGCAATAGACGTAGGCTGCCGGGGGATTCCCATGATGCATTGAGTTTTTCCTTTCCAGTCACCTTTCTCACTCACTATGTATTAACAGACCTCTCTGCATTGAATCATATCTGTTATTAACCTCTGTCTCTCTTCCACAGCATGTCTTTTATCCTGTCTTCCTTCTCTCACCCCAACCGGTCGCAGCAGATGGCCCCGCCCCTCCCTGAGCCTGGTTCTGCCGGAGGTTTCTTCCTGTTAAAAGGGAGTTTTTCCTTCCCACTGTCGCCAAAGTGCTTGCTCATAGGGGGTCATATGATTGTTGGGTTTTTCTCTGTATCTATGAAGCACCTTGAGGCGACTTTTGTTGTGATTTGGCGCTATATAAATAAAATTGAATTGAATTGAATATCACACGTGTTGGTCCAGGTCTTTACGAAGAGAAAACTAATTATGATGATAAATGAGGGTACTTGTTTACTTGCTAATGCTAGCTTTGTTTCCACGCAATACACAACTTGTAACTGATCTCAGGGATTTCCACAACATGGATTTATACACAAACAATCAGCTACAAGCTGCTGTCCTCTTAACTTGACAAGATGCAGCCATGATTAACTGGGCACAGATGTTGATTAGGACACCTACCATATATTGATTTCAGTAGCTCTATAATCAAGCAGTGTCAAGTCTACTTTCAGAGACAATAGCCAACTGTGGCCATAGGATGGCAGTGATGTAAAGGATGGACGCAGACAGTCATGAGTACAGCTTTATGACAGAATGCTGTTTGCGCTGAAACAAGAGTGATTGCTTTACTTTGGTATACTTTAACTGATGTCTGGTTTTTTTTTTTACATTTAACTGGACAAACATTGTTTGCCTTGCTTGGCCTGACAGAATACCACGAGACTCTCTTCACAAAGCATTTTATTTACCAATCTTCTGCAAATTCTCCAACAAACAACATTTCCCACTCTTAAGATAATTAAAATTTATCTGAATAGATATTTAGTGACATTTGGCAAAGAAGAGGTACACACAAAGCTAGTGTTAGCTTTCGACAGGAAGGTTTATTCTTGCTCAATAAGATTATTCTAATCATGCTGATAAAACTAGAAACAAAAGCAAAGCTCTATTCAGTATTTTCCAATGACGAAGAAATGTACCAAAAAAACAAACAACTGCTTTATCACTTTATCACAGCACCTGACTCAGGTAAGGTTTCTGATTAACACTGCTCTCAAATGAGATTATGACTATAATGAAATGACTATGATATTTATTTTCCATTATCTGTTGTGCTTTGTTTAAATGTCAAAAATCACTGGGAAAAGCTTTAAATAATTTATCTTTTATATGTGATTTAAAAACAAATCTGAATCGCAAAACATCTGAACAATCATGCAATATACATAAACGGAAAAGTTAAGTTTGTTTTTTCACTTCCGGTATTTCCGGAAGTGTGCCCGTGACAGAGTCTGTCTATCTGTCTGTTGAGACTGTCACTATACGATACGCAAACATAGAAAGCGGAACTCTGTAAACATGGGTTTTGGTGAGTATTTTAATACACGTAATACTTTAAAATAACTATACTCATGTGTTTAATGGTGTGACGGTGCCATGATGATAGCTAATGTCAGTGCTGATGTGAGCTTTGATGTTGTGTTTCAGGGACGATCGCTGCTGTTGCAGGGGGAGCAGGTAAGGCTTTGGACGCGGGGTTCAACCTATCGGTACCCACGGTATCTCTCTGTTGTGTTGATCCACTACCCTGCAGTCAGGAGAAGCGGTCACACAAAGCTGGCTGTCGGCTTGATAAGCTAACCCAGGGGCCTGTTCTTCGTACCTCGCTAAGTAGGTTAGCCGGATTAGATTGTTGACGATTTCGCGTGATCCTGGATCGTCGGTTCCCCGAAGCTCATCCGGGACTTGCTGTCATAGCAACAGAGCCGTAAGCGTAAACCTGCTCGGGAGCAGGTTTACTTTATGTAAACAGGATTAGATCGCGGCCACGCAGGTATGTCCGCTTCATTTATACGAAAGCAACAGCGATATTCCACCACTGTTTCACCATAAATAAATAACATCAATGTAACTAAAGATAATGCAGCACTTGATCCTTTATTGATGTCACACAGATACATACAGGTCATTTCCTAAAAAAGGGAAATGTACTATTAACATTCTATTACATGTATGTGATTATTACAGATGTAATTCATATTTCAGAGTAGTAATTGTAAATTACTTCGTGTAATCAAGATGAGAGACCACGGCTATAAAAGCGAAGGTGGATTTGGGAAGCCTGTCGCAGCCATGTCCTGTCCGTATTACGCGAGCCACCCATTGCGGAAGGTGCAAGATTGATAAGGAGAGTCCTCAGAATTCAGCGTATATTGCGGGATAGACAGGATCCTTTAGCTCAGCGCGACAGTGTGCTCATAGAGAGATATCGATTTTCCCGTGAGGGTATTATTTACTTAACCAACTTGTTGACGAGGGGGTGCAGGACCACCACCTGTCTTTTTTTGCTCTGCCCTTTTCTTGGTTGCTGTTATAAACAAACAAACAGATTATTTCAGGGTCTCTTTCCAAGAGACTAAAAGCAATATAAGTGATAAATATTACCATTCTGTAGAATATTCTTATATTTCACTTTTACTTGTTCCCATGTTCTAGTGGGTCCTGTTGTGGCTCTAATGTGAAAGAGGATATAATATAACAATATAGTATAATGTAATATAATATTGGATAATATAGTGTAATATAATACATCTACCCTACCGCCTACTGGTGTTGGCCAGAGGGGCCGATGGCGCGATATGGCAGCCTGGCTTCTGTCAGTCTGTCCCAGGGCAGCTGTGGCTACAACTGTAGCTGCCTCCACCAGTGTGTGAATGTGAGAGTGACTGAATAGTGGCATTGTAAAGCGCTTTTGGGTGCCTTGAAAAGCGCTATATAAATCCAATATATTATTATTATTATTATTAAATTACTTACGAGTTTAATTTGTCAGCAACTTTCTGCCAGCCCTCTCTCCTTGCTTTTGCAGCCTTTGCAGTGTTCCCTTGCGTTCTGATTAAACTCTGAAACTCCTGAAATCCCTCACTCAAGAGTTCTTGCTCTGCTGCCGAAAAATACCGAGCCGAGCGCAGCTCCTTCGACATTTTCGCCGACCAATCAGAGGGTTGCCGATCAATGTTTCTACTATCGATGCGTAGCCCCTTTTACGACACCCAGTGATGTCACATTACTGCGTCCAGCTGTACTAATCGTCAACGGAAGGTGTGTTCGGAGAACCGGATTAGCGAGCTCACGGTTAGCGCGATGATTTGATCTTGGATGTAGTGAGCGACGTACGAAGAACGGGCCCCAGGGCTTGATTGGGGCTGACGCTTGACAGGGATTGTTTTTGGCAGCATGTAAACAATTTACCACCAACACGGAAAAGAAAAATGTTAAGGAATAAAGTGAAGTGTAAGAATATATATTTATTACTGATGCGCATCAGGGAAAGCACCAAAACTTTAGTCTTTTGAAAAACTTTAGTCCGTCCTACTGTCTGTACACCGAGGTCTGGGGGATCTTCTACGAATAGTGACGCTATTTTCAGAAAACCGATTAGTCAGCAGGCGTTGTTTCATACCTGCTGATCCTTAGTCATAACTTGAACCCTGTGGAATGCATTGCATTGTAACTTATGCTCTCAAATGAAATATAAAGATTATGCATGAAATCACCACCTACTGACCAATACATCATCCAGACAATAGGGTCACTGTTCATAGAAAGTCCCTCAGACCTCTGTGTGTGGACAGTAGGAGGATCTAATGTTTTTGTGTTCGTTTTTCCCTGATGTCATTAATAAATGTAGATCTTTAGATACAGCCTTATTACTTTACGTTTTCCTGTTGGAAGCAAATGTTTTACAACATTTTCTTTGTTCTCCAGCAATAATACACGATTGTGAAACAGGACAAAATCTTGTACTTGCTGACCTTAATTATAATCATCAGATTCTCCTGTGCCTCAAACACAGAACTGTGATATTGAATCTATAAACTTACACAGCTTTCCTGGCTTCAAATAGGCCAGACTTTATTCATATAATGTCTATTTTCTAGTCATGCTGTCCAAAGTCCTTTGAGGGCACAAACATTCATACAGCACTTTTAATACTAAACTACTGTAAAGTACTTTTTCCTCTCACACTTACACTTCACAACAGCACCAGCCCTTTTACGTGAGCGAGAAGGGTGAACCCTGGATTAACTTAATTTGTTTCATAAGCGCTTCATGTGACCACTTATCCAGATTGCCAGTGTTGGGGTAAGTGAATCCAGATAACTGAAAGATACCCTCGATATGCTAAACTTGCTTTAACATGTAAAGCGAGCCCAGGATAAGATGTAATCCTGCCTTGTACCTCAGGCCTCTGCTTATATAAAAACTTTTTACATGGCATATCATTTGTAACAGTCACACTGATGCTGGTGTTCTCGTCCATGTGCAGTCGGTGCAGTGGCCTTGGCTCCTGTTGCTCTGGGGGCCGTAGGTTTCACCTCAGCTGGAATAGCTGCAGGCTCCTACGCTGCAAGCATGATGTCTGCTGCTGCGGTGGCTAATGGAGGCGGAGTGCTAGCTGGAGGCATGGTGGCTGTTTTACAGTCAGCAGGTAGGCTTGTTGTCTGACTTTACTGTGGTTTCATCAATAGTGCTGTACACATTCACTTTATTAGGAACCTACAGTGGCCCTGAGAGGCCAAACGGACTGCAACTTAAGAAAACAGCAGCAATAAGAAAAACCCTGCAAAAGCACACAAAACACAACGGAAATAGGAAAAAACAGATTTCCGAAAGCACAAGGGAAGTGTTTCTGTGGAGACAATAACCCGACGAACGAGTTGCAGGAACCAAAAATATACTAAGCATTGGGCTGGGAGACACTTAAAAGAAGTGGAGCATCTCTCAGTTTTGTGAGGAAAGAAAAGATTAGAGGTAAGTGTGTTAGCCTAACTATTAGCCTAAAAATCCGTCATCAGTATTAGTTTTGTGTGCTTTTGTAGTGTTTTTCTTATTGCTGGTGTTTTCTTAAGTTGCAGTCCGTTTGGCCTCTCAGGGCCACCGTAGGAACCAAAGCAAAGGTGACCCTTGCTCCTGTTGGTGGTGACCAGTATATGTATACTCAGGGACTGAATAATTCAATACAAATGACTGATAACACATTTACAAATGTACACACTGATTCAACTTAAAGTCTATTTACAGACTTAAACGGGGACGGCCTTAGTGTCCTGCGTTGTGTTACAGGACACCTGTGTTGTGTTACAGGACACAGCCTTAGTGTCCTGTGTTGTGTTACAGGACTAAGCTTGTGGTGTGGGGTGATCGTGCCTCAAGAGTTGGCAGTTTGTCTTGCAATCAGAAGGTTGCCATTTCGAGCCCCGGCTCCAACAGTCTTGGTCGTTGTGTCCTTGGGCAAGACACTTCACCAATTGCCTACTGGTGGTCAGAGGGCCCGGTTGCGCCAGTGTCTATGTGTGGCTACAATGTAGCTTGCCATCACCAGTGTGTGAATGGGTGGATGACTGAATGTAGTGTCCGCTTTGGGGTCCATAGGGACTAACTAAAGCACTATACAAATGCAGGCCATTTAACAGACCCTTAAAAGGACTTTAGTGCCTACAACATGAGTGAGCAGCTGACAGAAAAGAAGTGTGGTATTGGTGTATAAGCCATAGGGCATTTTTTAGTTTATGAAATCTGACACCACTAGGGGGCAGTGATGCCACTATTAGGTGGCAGTCAGTTGTTTTGATTCCTGATAAAGTTGGAAGCAAACTCAGCTGCTTGACTTGATGCAACATATTGAAGCTGTGAATATTTTCCCTCCTCCCTCTTGAAGGTGCAGCTGGGCTGTCGGGGGCTGCCACTGCAGCTGTGGGCGGTGTTGGAGCTGCTGCAGGAGCAGGACTGAAATTGCTGGCAGGTGTCATACGGAAATAAAAAATGTAAATAATCTCACATGGCAAATTCTAATGATATTTTGTTGCCACTGCTCTTCCTACTAATGAGCATTGTTGTTGTGATGTCAGAAATATGAGTGATACATTTTTTAACTGTTTCAGTGAATGAGTGAAAGTGTTTCTGCAGTCAGTGTTTCTGTCACTGACCTCATTTCAGTGCATCAAAGAGTAATTCCACAAATTCAGTGTTGTAAAAATTTCAGGATTTAATGAAATTTTTTGGTCATACCACGTTACTGAAGTGTTTAAACTAAAGAGTGTTCTAGTGTTTATTCATTCAAGGTTCAAAATAAAGGAAGATATTAAACCAGAGTGAAGAGTTATCATTTTTGAAGATGTGCTGTACATTTGTCGTTCTTACATCTTTGCCACTGATCATTTCAGGTGTAGGAATGGAAACTCACTAAACCCTTTCCTTCCTTCTCTAAGCAATATTTTACTTTGTTGAAAGATCTAAATAAGAGTAACTGAAATTAACTTAATTAAAATGCATTTCAAAGTTTCTGCTGGCTCCAGTGTTTTTAAAATTTGTAATGGTACAAAAGATTATTTAAAGATTTAATCCTCACACAATAAACTGTAATAACACAATCTCCCCCCCCCCCTTTTTTTTAAGGATGTGCAGATGTTTTTTAATGTTCTACACTAAAATTTTCATATCAATTGATTACCTTATTGTAGGAAATTGTAGTTCTAAATTTCAGAATGTTGTTAATGCCTTTGTCTTCACTAAGGTGAGTCTGATTTATTTATTTTTTAGCTTTCAGGTGCTCGTGTTTTGATTTCTTAAAGCCTTGCACCCGTTTCCATAATCTTACCAGCAGATGAGCTCAGTGCATGTATTATGAGGAGTCTTTGTGCGGAGATTATTGTAAACTTTCTGGAAGCTGAGGCATTCGTGGGCTCTATAACTCATTCTACTTTCTTTGCTTTCCCTGTTTTGTATTTTGCGTTTTTGCATAGCACTGGGTGAAGCTGGTATTTGATCCCCTACAACCCAGTCAGAATTTTGGCACATTTTCTGGACTTTTATGGAGTGGTTGATATTTCTGCATTACATTATGATGTTTAAAATAAAAACAATTATGCTTTTATTTTGCATGGATTTTTATTTTCACATTAAATTCAGAAAATTTCTTCGTATCAGTCTTGGGTTCAGATCAAACAGCTTCATGCTCTACAATGATACCTAAAAATGATGCATTCAAAATAGCAGTGATCTTAATCCACCATATATTTAACTTAATTTTCAAATTTTGCTTTAAACTGAGTGTCTGACGTTTCTAAAATGATGCTTCATTTGAGATCTGTCACATGACTAAACATCTGGTATTTGTTCATAGTGTAAATCTTAACGTGTTCCAGTCTGGTTACAAATGGTTGAGAGCAGCCAACCCACTGTTCCTCCAGCACCAGCAACACCCCCAATGCCAGCTCCCGTCAGACCTCCCATACCTACAGTGAGATTATAGACGCCATCAGCTGTTTGTTATTCATGTGTAAAGCTTTTATGCTATTCTTTTTGATGCTTCTCTGTATGATTTGCATGATATCTGTTTTATATATTTAAATATGTAAGCAATTTTCTTTGCAACATCTAAATAATATTGTTTAAATAGTTTACTAATTAAATCAAAATATCTGGTTTACCCCAGGACTGCAGGGTTGCTATGAGACCTCCTGCTGCAACTCCTCCTCCATTAGAAACTGCAAAATATGACATCAGTTTGGCAGCAATGGAGCCTGCTGCTATTCCAGCTGGAGTGAACCCCAGTGCAGCCAGAATGGCTGGAGCCAGAGCCACAGTGCCAGCACCTCCTGAATATTATTTTACATATATATTGGAAAGATTTTCAAATAAGAAGTAACAAGAACCAACCTTAGTTACAAAAAGTTTATTGTGAAATGTAAATAAAAACAGAAGACAGTGATGTGGTCCTGCCATGAAATTTAAAATGAGCTAATGTCATTTCTTGAAATAGTAAAATGTTTTAGTTGTTCAACTGTAAATAAAGTTTATGTTCATAAGACTTGCATTGCATTGTGGGTTGCGTGAAAGCGGTGAATCACGTCATCTGACAGCTTACCTCCGACTATAACGACTCCCTTGAAAGACAAAGAGTGAACAAAATCGCGCATGGAGTAAGAAATTCATTAAATTACACTGCATGAAAAATAATAACATAAACAGTAAAATATGAAGGATTTACATATTTCTTCCCAGTCCATGATATGTCCACATTCAGATGATACAGAGAGTGTATCCGTAGTTATGCCCAGATATCCACAGTGCAGTGGTATATTTTGTCCAGTGCATCCCCCCCTGCCTTTTTATAATTATTGATAGAAGTTTCACTTTCATTTCTCAGTAAATGATACTAACTGCCCACACGTGACAAAATACACCACTGCACTGTGTGGGGTCACAATTTCAAGAGGTTGTGTGAGCAATTCCTCAGGTTAGAAGAAGGTTGATTTCAGCTCCCAAATTCCAATTAAAGTCAAAAACCACAAAAATCACAGGAGAAGAGCAGAGGTCTATGCCAGCTGTTTTATTCAACAGTGAAGTTCAGCAAAAAGAAGGAAAAGCAAAAGCTCCCCTAGGGTGTGTGCCGTAGGCGCATGCAGGTTGGGACCAACCCCAATGGACAGACAGCAGGGAAAAGCTTCTGTCTCCTTCTTATGGGCCAGTAACCCCACCTCCTGCTGCTGGGTAACTTTCCACTTGTCCTCCAGCCAAAAGCAGCAGAGCAGGGTCAGGTACCGACCAAGATACAGGCAGGGGCCAGTCAGGACTCTGGCTAAGGGCCGTCTGCAGAGGGGCACCCTTTGATTAACCCTTTGCTTTGCCTTATCACAGTTGGTCACATCATGGTCAAAAGTCACACATTAACATACATCAGCAAGTAGCATAATCTTATGACATTACTTCTGACTGCAGACAGGTGTTGATTTTGCTACATGCGAACAAATATCTGATGATGTTTATTGCAGATATGCAGTATACACGTCATTCAAAAAATCCACAACAACTATGCTGCTTCTGGGTAAAAATATTATCATTGTATTAGTATTTAGTTACTTGTATTTTCCTACCATACACAATAGTAGAGACATACATTTGAATAGCCCATAAAGTCCATACAAGCTCTGCATAATAACCTGTCTTTTGTTCATTTATAGTTCAGGCAAAATCACAGAAATACACCACTTAATGTGTGAAAGCATAATAAATGGATGGATGGATGTCAACCCCCTGAGATCCAACCTCAGAATCACTTTCATTTCCCAAGAAACAACAGCTGACCCTCACACTTGTATATGAGGCACAGTCGAGTCTTAGGCTCCTCATCCTGTGTGAGATAATGGATTTAAGTGAGTACAGCTGCCTTTTTCACATCGTCTATAGCTACATCATATAAGCTCATGATTATAGCGTCACAGAAAATGGCTAAATTATTCCAGCTGGGCTGAGGTAAGATGTTTTTTTTTCTTTCTTTCCTGTGTTTCAGTGACAGCTTTAGCGATCACAGCTGGGGCAGGTAAGACACTTAACCTTACTTTGTTTTTGTTTTTTTAATCACTCAAGCTCATAGGAGAAGTCATAGTAGATATCATACATCACTGCTAAATTGCTTTGATAAAATATCCTTTATTCACAAAGTCTAAATTGTGGATGTCCCCCTTTTAATTCTTTGTGAAACAGTAAAGGTAGAAATCTTTGTGTAAATAACTTTTACAAGTTACTCAAGTCATTTAAAAGTAACAGACCATAACTGGTAAAACTGGTCCAGAAGGCTACTCAGGACCCATTTGTTTGTTGTTGTTTTTTAATCAGGATGGAGTAGACAACTAGAGAGCTTTTGAGGCAGTTAGAACAGGGTGAGTTACCTTCATCATCAGCTCCATCTAGGCTCTACACTGCGTATTGGGTAAGGCCCGAAGGATGAATGACTAGACATTTAAACTAAGAGCTGATCCAGACTTCCTGTATTGGGGTGCTGGTTCCACAGATAGACACACGTCATTATGCTGCAGTGAGGATAAAGCTTTCCCTTCTGTTGGATTCTACCTCAAGGTCAACTAAAACACTTGAATATATATTTGAATATATTTAAATCTACCAGGCGCTCCTGCTGTTTCCTCTCTCTGTTTGTTTTGTTTAAACAAAGAGAGAGAGGAAAACAGAAAATATATTACCTGCGAACTACAAGGTTGCTATGACACTCACTGGAACTGCACCTCTGTAAAATATAGCAAAATATGACATCAGTTTGGAAGTACTGGATCCTGCTGCTATTCCACTTGAAAAGAACCTCAGTTCAGCCACAACAGGAGTCAGAGCTAGTTTCCATCTGCAGTCCCCGCGGAGGTCAAAGAGACATAAAATCATGAAATGAATGAATCATGTGGTTAATAATGTCATGTGACCTCCTAGGTAAATGGCCTGCATTTGTATAGCGCTTTACTCAGTCCCTAAGGATCCCAAAGCATTTTACAGTCATTCACCCATTCACACACTGGCAATGGCAAGCTACATTGTAGCCACAGCCACCCTGGGGCGCACTGACAGAGGCGAGGCTGCCGGACACTGGCTCCACCGGGCCCTCTGACCACCACCAGTAGGCAAACATGGGGTTAGTATCTTGCCCAAGGACATTTTGGCATGCAGCCAGGAGGCAGCCTGGGATCGAACCACCGACCTCCTGATTATTGGCTGACCTGCTCTGCCACCTGAGCTACAGCCACCCCATGCAGTATTGTAGAAATACAATACTGCAATGTGGTAATTTTGGGTATACAGGGAGTGCAGAATTATTAGGCAAATGAGTATTTTGTCCACATCATCCTCTTCATGCATGTTGTCTTACTCCAAGCTGTATAGGCTCGAAAGCCTACTACCAATTAAGCATATTAGGTGATGTGCATCTCTGTAATGAGAAGGGGTGTGGTCTAATGACATCAACACCCTATATCAGGTGTGCATAATTATTAGGCAACGTCCTTTCCTTTGGCAAAATGGGTCAAAAGAAGGACTTGACAGGCTCAGAAAAGTCAAAAATAGTGAGATATCTTGCAGAGGGATGCAGCAGTCTCAAAATTGCAAAGCTTCTGAAGCGTGATCATCGAACAATCAAGCGTTTCATTCAAAATAGTCAACAGCGGTCGCAAGAAGCGTGTGGAAAAACCAAGGCGCAAAATAACTGCCCATGAACTGAGAAAAGTCAAGCGTGCAGCTGCCAAGATGCCACTTGCCACCAGTTTGGCCATATTTCAGAGCTGCAACATCACTGGAGTGCCCAAAAGCACAAGGTGTGCAATACTCAGAGACATGGCCAAGGTAAGAAAGGCTGAAAGACGACCACCACTGAACAAGACACACAAGCTGAAACGTCAAGACTGGGCCAAGAAATATCTCAAGACTGGTTTTTCTAAGGTTTTATGGACTGATGAAATGAGAGTGAGTCTTGATGGGCCAGATGGATGGGCCCGTGGCTGGATTGGTAAAGGGCAGAGAGCTCCAGTCCGACTCAGACGCCAGCAAGGTGGAGGTGGAGTACTGGTTTGGGCTGGTATCATCAAAGATGAGCTTGTGGGGCCTTTTCGGGTTGAGGATGGAGTCAAGCTCAACTCCCAGTCCTACTGCCAGTTTCTGGAAGACACCTTCTTCAAGCAGTGGTACAGGAAGAAGTCTGCATCCTTCAAGAAAAACATGATTTTCATGCAGGACAATGCTCCATCACACGCGTCCAAGTACTCCACAGCGTGGCTGGCAAGAAAGGGTATAAAAGAAGAAAAACTAATGACATGGCCTCCTTGTTCACCTGATCTGAACCCCATTGAGAACCTGTGGTCCATCATCAAATGTGAGATTTACAAGGAGGGAAAACAGTACACCTCTCTGAACAGTGTCTGGGAGGCTGTGGTTGCTGCTGCACGCAATGTTGATGGTGAACAGATCAAAACACTGACAGAATCCATGGATGGCAGGCTTTTGAGTGTCCTTGCAAAGAAAGGTGGCTATATTGGTCGCTGATTTGTTTTTGTTTTGTTTTTGAATGTCAGAAATGTATATTTGTGAATGTGGAGATGTTATATTGGTTTCACTGGTAAAAATAAATAATTGAAATGGGTATATATTTGTTTTTTGTTAAGTTGCCTAATAATTATGCACAGTAATAGTCACCTGCACACACAGATATCCCCCTAAAATAGCTAAAACTAAAAACAAACTAAAAATACTTCCAAAAACATTCAGCTTTGATATTAATGAGTTTTTTGGGTTCATTGAGAACATGGTTGTTGTTCAATAATAACATTATTCCTCAAAAATACAACTTGCCTAATAATTCTGCACTCCCTGTAATTACTGTCAATTTATTTGTATTTATTTTCTCTTACCATACATAATAGCACAGAAATACATTTGCAATGACCCAAGTGAAGTCCATACAAGCTCTCCATAATGACTTGTTTTTGTTTTTTTAATGTTAGGCAGGGTGACTAAGCAATTTCCTCTCTTGCAAATTCCCTGAAATACTTCACTGTACATGAAAAGCATAACAAAAGTAAAATAAAAATAAATATGTCAAACCCTCTGAGATCCAACCTCAGAATCACTTGTTCCAAAATGACTAAGGAAGCGTTGTTTACTTCACAGACCCAGTGACGCCCACTCTAAGAGTTTCGTTTCCTAGGAATAACAGCTGACCCTCCCACTTGTTTATAAGGCACAATCCAGTCTTAGGCTCCTCATCCTGAGTGGAATAATGGGTCTATGTGAGTACAGCTGCCTTTTTATATTATCTATAACTACATCATATAGGCTTATGATAGTAGCATCACAGAAAATGTCAAAATATTTACAGCTGAGCTGAGGTAAGATGTTTTTTTCTTTCTTTTTTTTTTTGTTCCAGTGACAGCTATAGCAATTGCAGCCGGGGCAGGTAATACAGCTGTTTTTTTAAATTTATTTATTTATTATCACTCAGGCTGGTAGAAGTTGCATATATCATACACGTATTCATTTCGAGGCATCCTGATGATCAGTAACCAGGTTTTTCTTCCTGTTGTCAGGTGGAGCAGTGGTGTCTGCTCCTATTGTCCTGGGGGCTGTAGGTTTCACTTCAGCTGGAATAGCTGCAGGCTCCTACGCTGCAAGCATGATGTCTGCGGCTGCTGTGGCCAATGGAGGAGGAGTGGCAGCAGGAAGTCTGGTGGCTGTTTTACAGTCAGCAGGTAAAAAAACAAAAACAAAAAAACCCTTAGTATGATATACCGGACAGACCTTATAAACAATAACATGTCGCTGTGTTGCAGTGAGGATAAAGCCTCCCCCTCTTCTCTGCAGCTCAGTTACTTCATCTAACTGATCGATCAGCTGTCTGGTTTTCTGAAGCCTGTTTTCTCTCTGCAGGTATGGCAGGTCTGTCTGGGGCCGCCACCGCAGCCGTGGGCTCTGTTGGAGGGGCTGTGGGATTTTTGGCTACTGTCATCTGAGACCAGGAAATTATGATAATCAGAAAGAAAAATAATAATAACAAAGAATATAATTACTGTTGTTAGAAACAGTTGCCAAAAGTATCAGCGTCATGCTTCAGTAAAGCTTGGCTGAAATGTGAGTGCTGGTAATGCTGTGGTGTTATACGAAACACATGGACACGGTCAAATTGTGCAACTTGTTAAAAACGTTGATGGTCTGCCCAAAATGATTTCTGCTATATAAACTGTTGGAAATAAATTGCTGACATTTAATCTGTCAAACACATCTGAAACATGTCTCTCATTAATGACATCTGAGCAGTTTTGTGCCAGAAAGAACATTCCAGTCAAAACCACGCTCCAGTTTGTGTTGCTCTCTGTCGCCCTCTGTTGTTCAGCTGTGAACATAAAGTTTTGTTTCTGAGGAAATGAAACCTTGCTTGCTATAAAAACCAGCCCGTTTCAGAGCAGACGCAGAGCAGATAAAGACATGGACCCTGGTGAGCCATTTGTCTTTGATAGAAACCAGCTGAGCTATGGCCCAGTGTTCTTATGTTGTGTTACAGCAGTGGTTACCAATTTTGTTTTGCTAGGACCTCGCTTTGTTTTACAAGAAAATCGTCCCCCCGCATAAACACATCCTAAAACCAGTTTTCAAACCTTTTGTAAACAATTAAACAAATAAAAGTTAACTGCAATAAATTACAGGTTGCAGTTAAATAAACCACTACCTCCTTTAAAAATCAGAAAAACAAAACATCTTTAATTATTTTACATATAGTTGTTTTTTTTTAATATATACAGGGCTGGACTGGGACAAAAAAGTACATACATATAGATATATTCTATATATCTATATGTATCTATCTATCTATCTATCTATCTATCTATCTATCTATCTATCTATCTATATATATATATATATATATTCTGATACTATTGCAACTGTTTCCAATTGGCAGCAGTAAATATGTCATTTATTGCTATTTTTTTTCTTTCTGATTATCATCATTTCCTGGCTTCAGAACACCAGACAGCTGATCGAGCAGTTAGATGAAGTAACTGAGCTACAGAGAAGACAGGGAGGCTTTATCCTACGACGGAGTATTAGAGCCACAACAGAAAAGTTGTTGATATGGACATTACTGTTTGAATACAAACTGCCACATGCGCTATATCCGCTAAAGAAAATTCCTTATTTAGATGAGTTAGTGAAACAAATTGATCAGCCGTCTTGTGATACAACATTCATCCTCTTTATTGCACGAGGATGTAACCATCGATAACCTCGCATCTGTCCATTACCAGCCGCAGCTTTTTGTACAGCCTAATACTTATCATCACACTGTGTTCATGAGCTAAAAGAAAAATCATTTCTTTCATTCTTACTAAAACTGATTCTGAAGACTCACTGTGTGATGTGCAGTTTTTTGCGCTATTGGGGGTCACACCAGATACTGACCCAGAACCGGTCAGTATCTGGTGTGACCACCATTTGCCTCATGCAGTGCAACACATCGTCGCATGGAGTCTATCAGATTGTCAATTGTGGCCTGTGGAATGTTGGTCCACTCCACTTCAATGGCTGTGCGAGGTTGTTGGATATTCGTGGGAACTGGTACACGCTGTCGTATACGCCGGTCAAGCACATCCCGAACATGCTCAATGGGTGACATGTCCGGTGAGTATGCTGGCCATGCAAGAACTGGGACATTCTCAGCTGCCATCTGCCCTGAACAATGTGAACCATGATTCATCCGTGAAGCGCACACCTCTCCAACGTGCTTATGGTTGAGAAATGAACATTCAATGCACGGGCGACAGATCTGGTTGACATTCCTGCTGTCAGCATGCCAATTGCACGCTCCCTCATTGCTTGTGGCATCTGTGGCATTTTGCTGTGAGACAAAACTGCACATTCCAGGGTGGCCTTTTGTTGTGGGCAGTCTGAGGTACACCTGTGCACTACTCATGATGTCAGATCAGCATCCTGATGTGGCACACCTGTGAGGTGGGATGGATTATCTCAATATAGCAGATGTGCCCACTACCACACATTTGGACTGATTTGTGACCACTGTTTGGGAGGGATGGTTATATTGTGTATCTGGAATGAATTTTAGGTCTCTACGTCCATCCCATGGGGAATGGGAGCAGTAACAAAGGTGTTGCGTTTATATTTTTGTTGAGTGTATATGGATATAGTTATGTTGGGTTTCTGTGATTTTTAATCATTGAAATCTCAGATAGATTATACTAAAATAAACTGATATCAGCTAAATTATCCAAATGGTACGAATTTGATAGGTACAAACTTTCCCATTTGTACCTACCTTGTGACATCTCGAGAGGCGGACTATGGCATCTACAGAGCTTTAAAGACTCTGTACACCTGTGGTATGGAGCTTGATGAAATTGTGTTTGAGGGACGGACTAAGAAAGGTCCCACACTGGAGAAGATCAGGCCTCATGTCTTCTTTGATGACCAGAAGCATCATGCTGACGCTGCATTGAAGGCTGGCACAGTGACATGCCCGGTGCCCTCAAGTAACACTGAATGGGAATTTATTCATTAGAGTCATGAACTGATTATCTCATAACTGATGGAAATACATGAACTTGAAAAAGATGTTTCCATTTTGCTTTAAAGACACTGAAAATAATTTTTTCTTTTCGTTCATAAAAAAATATTTTATTGCATCAAGAGAGATGAGTCCATTTATTACAGTACTTATGGCTGTGCGTGCTTTGAAGTTCTTGTCTCACTAACTAGAAAAGCTTCTGGTACTCGGCGTCCACGGTGGTACAAATGCAGACAGTAATCAGAAGAGTCATGTTCTCAAAATAGACTGGTGTTAAAGTTTTTGTTATTTCAGCATTTTAAAGTGGTGTAAATCTACACGGTTACTGAAAAGAAGAAACATAATTTGGAACTATATCATTTAGAAGGTCATATTTTATTCAAAAACATCTGAGTTGTGTATAGCACATGTTAAAGTATTATTATATTATGTAATATATATATATATATATATATATATATATATATATATATATATATATATATATATATATATATAAAAACACCCAGCACGCCCCTGCGGGCGGTTTATCCTTCAAGCTCGGGTCCTCTACCAGAGGCCTGGGAGCTTGAGGGTCCTGCGCAGTATCTTAGCTGTTCCCAGGACTGCGCTCTTCTGGACAGAGATCTCCGATGTTATTCCCGGGATCTGCTGGAGCCACTCGCCTAGCTTGGGAGTCACCGCACCTAGTGCTCCGATTACCACGGGGACCACCGTTACCTTCACCCTCCACATCCTGGGGTCTTGCCTGGTGTGATAGACCCCAGCCTCTATGGATCTTGTGCTCAGAGCTTGTTCTTGTGCTGCCATGATTAGTGCCTCTGTGCTGTCTTTCAGTCCAGCTTTGTCCAGCCACTGGTAGGATTTCTGGATATCAGCCACCTCCTCTATCTGCCGGTGGTACATACCGTGCAGGGGCCTGTCCTTCCATGATGGTTCCTCGTCTCCCTCCTCTTTCTTGGGTTTCTGCTGCCTGAGGTATTCACTGAGCACTCGGTCAGTTGGGGCCATCTTCCCAATGTATTCTTGGATGTTCGTTGTCTCATCCTGGACTGTGGTGCTGACACTCACCAGTCCCCGGCCCCCTTCCTTCCGCTTAGCGTACAGCCTCAGGGTGCTGGACTTGGGGTGAAACCCTCCATGCATGGTAAGGAGCTTTCTTGTCTTTATGTCAGTGGCTTCTATCTCCTCCTTTGGCCAGCCTATTACCCCAGCAGGGTACCTGATCACGGGCAGGGCGTACGTGTTGATGGCCCGGATCTTGTTCTTACCATTCAGCTGACTCCTCAGGACTTGCCTGACCCTCTGCAGGTACTTGGTGGTTGCAGCCTTTCTAGCGGCCTCTTCATGGTTCCCATTGCCTGCGGGATCCCCAGGTACTTGTAACTGTCCTCTATGTCTGCAATGTTGCCTTCTGGTAGTTCAATCCCCTCAGTTCTGACTACCTTCCCTCTCTTTGTTACCATCCGACTACACTTCTCCAGTCCGAACGACATTCCAATGTCATTGCTGTATAGCCTGGTAGTGTGGATCAGTGAATCGATGTCTCGTTCACTCTTGGCATACAGCTTGATGTCATCCATGTACAGGAGGTGGCTGACAACTGCTCCGTTCCGTAGTCGGTATCCTAGCCAGTCTTGTTAATGATCTCACTGAGGGGGTTCAGGCCTATGCAGAACAGCAGTGGGACAGAGCATCTCCTTGGTAGATCCCGCACTTGATGGTGACTTGTGCTATGGGCTTGGAGTTGGCCTCTAGTGTTGTACGCCACATCCCCATTGAGTTCCTGATGAAGGCTCTTAGGGTCCCATTGATCTTGTACAATTCTAGGCATTCCAGTATCCAGCTGTGGGGCATTGAGTCATAGGCCTTCTTGTAATCAATCCAGGCAGTGCACAGGTTGGTCAGTCTGGTCTTGCAGTCTCGGCTGACTGTTCTGTCTACCAGTAGCTGGTGTTTTGCGCCTCTGGTATTCTTGCCAATTCCTTTCTGTGTCCCGCTCATGTATTGACCCATGTGCCTGTTCATCTTAGCCGATATGATGCCTGACAGGAGCTTCCATGTAGTACTGAGGCAGGTTATTGGTCGGTAGTTGGAGGGGACCGGTCCCTTCTTGGGGTCCTTGGGGATCAGGACCGTCCGACCTTCGGTTAGCCATTCCGGGTGTCTCTCGTTAACTAGCAGCTGGTTCATTTGTGCTGCCAGACGCTCGTGGAGTGCAGTCAGCTTCTTTAGCCAGTAGGCGTGAACCATGTCGGGCCCTGGTGCTGTCCAACTCTTCATACTGGAGACCCTTTCTTGGATATCTGCCACTGTGATGGTTACTGGACCCTGTTCAGGGAGGTCGCTGTGGTCTGCCCTCAGATCCACTAGCCACTGAGCATTGCCGTTATGGGTTGCGTCCTTCTCCCATATGCTCTTCCAGTATTGCTCCGTCTCCAGCCTTGGTGGTGCTGTTCTCTTATTGTTCCCTTGCCACTGAGAGTACACCTTTGCTGGTTCTGTGGAGAACAGCTGGTTTATTCTCCTGCCTTCTATCTCTCTGGTGTACCTCCTCAAGCGGCTGGCCAAGGCTGTGAGTCTTTGCTTGGCAGTTTCCAAGGCCTCAGGTATGGACAGCTTGCTGTATTTCTTATGCACCTTCTTTGTCGCACCTTTCTGCAACTCCGTTAGTTGGCTAACCTCCCTCCGTGCTACTTTGATCTTGCCCT